CTTACAAGCTTTCAAGAGGGCACAGAGGAAGGCAGAATCCAGAGGGCGTAGAGGAAGGTAGAATCTCCACTGAGTAGTATCCAATCTGTCTAGGCAGGGCTGATGAAAGGAAATTCACATAAGTCTCTTGCGATACAATAGTGAATATTGTTATCAGGACTGATTGTGAGGGTTGGAAATGTAAAGGTAGACATTTTGTAGCAAGGAGGGGAGTGATTAACTTTGCAGTCTAGGAGCGGAGGTCCCTGGGACCATCAAAGGAGGAGAGCGGAGAGTGGTACTCTACCCAGAGAAGCAGTGACATCAGAGATGGCGGCAGAGATGATGACGTGGATAGATGGAGCAGCTGGGAACTTTAGACCCGGAGAGGGAGAGGGGCTGTGTGCCTACAACCTGGGGGCAGGCTTGCAGGGTATACCCTTTGGTTGGTTGATGATGCACGGAGGGGATTGTAACCATGGCAATGAAACGATATACAATAGGATGAATTAAAAACAATGTCCTCCCATGTAAACTATCACATAATTCACAATAAACATTTTTTAAAAAAGGATATATCCCAGAAACCCAAATTCTTGGGACAAGCTTACAATCAATAAAAAAATAAAAACAATAAAAAGAAACAAAACAAAACAGTATCAGAGTCATTCTTGCTGTATCACAAGTGTCTCTGATTTTCCAAAATCCTTCCCCACCAATCACACCACATCCACAGAAGAAAATGCTGTAGGCATGAGAACGAGGCTTTATTTAGACAGGAGTCAAACAGTTGTATGGAACACACACTTTGATAACTTTTAAACCTTTCACTCTAAAGAGATCAAAAACTTTTCAGAAGTTCAAGTTGAAGCCCAGAATTGTTTAACAAATCATACAAAGTCACAGGCCGAAAAATAGGAATCTAGAGGACTGAGCATTAATTCTGAGGGTGGACAGCATCCTGTTATAATGTACTCTATCCAGAATTGAATACCTAATTTAGGCAAGAAGATTTAAACTAGTTTTAAATTATGAAAGTAATTCATTAGTGGCCTTCTTTATACAAATTATTTAATATGTAGATAGTATATGAGTGCATTCTTTAAAAATCTTTCTTTTAAGAATTAGAATATTAATGTGCCTTTTGTTTAAATTATTATATATTCCTGAGTATTTTTGTGTACACACCCTAAAAACAAAACAAAACAAAAAACAGAGGGAATGGAAGAAAATACTGTGTTATGATGATGAACGGAGGAAACTGCAATCATTGCAATGAAACAATGAGTGTAAAACCGATGTTCTCCCATGTAAGCTATCACTCAATTCACACAAAAAAGAATTAGAATATTATAAGTAAGTCTTATAATATTCCCTATTAAGTTGTTAAGTGCCGTCGAGTCGGTTCCGACCCATAGTGACCCTGTACAGGGTTTCCGAGGGTGTAAATCTTTACGGGAGTAGAAAGCCTCATCTTTCTCCCGCGGAGCGCGCTGGTAGTTTCGAACCGCTGACCTTAAGGTTCGCAGCCCGATTCGTAACCACTACGCTACCAGAGCTCCTCAATATTCCCTATAATCAACACTTATTTTCTATCTGGAATGTTTCCTTACAAATCTCTTATTAAAAGAATCACGCACACACATGCTCATAAAATATATAGTTCATTGTACATGTGTTTTTATATATGGTATCACTAAACCATTTATTTTTTGAGACTTACTATGCTGATGTTATAACCAAATAATATTTTTAAATAGACAGGTGGCAGTTCTGGTCTCCCCCAAACCTTTCACTATGCTACTATCAAAGAAGGATATTGGGTAGATGGTTTAAGGGTCTGACCCAGAAGCCACAATCTTAAATGCCGGCAGAGGTGAGGCAGATAAGACAAATGTCTGAATCAGGATGAATGACAGCTGATACTTACGCCTTCAGTAGCAGGGGTGCAATAGGGAGTGGTGTGGACCACGGCAAACTACAAAGAGACAAAAGAAGGTGGCAGCTACGTAACACCAGCCAATTATTGTTACGGGGTCTTATTGTTTCAGAGAAGCAGAAAACAATATCTGTTCTTTCAAGTAAAACAAAACAAAACAAGCTCTTGATTTTTAAGTGTTGGCCATTTAAAATTCATAGTAAAAAAGGAAAAAAGAAAGACTCAGGCTGACATTCAGCTGGTCACATTGAGAGCTGAATTTGGACCATACAGTTGGCACCTCTGGTTTACCTTCCTATATTATTTATGCCATAACAATTGTATTAATGAGACATTCTTAGAGGAATGAATATGTAAAGCACAGACACTTTTTCAAAGGTATTGGTTCTCTCTCTATATATGGAGTCCTGATGTGACGCTGCAAAGTCCTGTTGTGGACTGCAAAGTCATTTGAACCACAAGGTCGGTGGTTCAAGCTCACCAGCTACTCCTTGGAAACCCTATACAGGGTCGCTATGGGTCGGAATCGACTCGATGGCACTTAACAACAACATATATATATAAACAATAACCCAGGCAATTCTAGCTATTCTATTTCTTCCATTTCCATTTTAGAATAAGATTTTGGAAAGGTTTAGGACAAGATTTATCCATTATATTACTTTTTCTCCTTCCCATTTCCTAGGTATTTTCAATTTTATCAGAAAAATGTCAAATTGCCTTATATTGAAAACATATTGGTTGCTACACTTCATGTTTTCTAAGTGAGGGAAGATGCCTCAGATTTACTCAGGAGACACTGGCTCATGGTTACAGGGAAGAGGAATTCTTCTGAGGTTCCTTGTGACAAATGCCAGACCAAGGTTCACCATGAACCATCTGAGGGGGAAAATGCAGACCTTGAATCTGCCCAATCCAAGACCAAACATTATAAGGACCCATGATGGAAGTGAAGATCTTTGCTGAACTAAGGGCAAGAATCAGCCTCTGTCTACCCTGATCTTCTTCACAAGGGAAAGGCATGTCGTCACACAATACTTGTTTAAGACATAGGGCATTTAATCACCAACCATTGCCACCACACTCCACTTGGAGATTTAGAACTGACCATAGCGGTCACGTGTACACAAACAACTTCTTATCTGTAAAAGTCAAGTCCATTTCCTACCTACAGTGGTTTAGGAGGAGAAACTCAAGAGAAAAATTAGCAACTATCAGCTGTTTGGTGGGAGAAAGATGAAGCATTCTGCTCCTGTAAATGTTTACAGTCTCGGAAACCCTACATAGGGTCACTATGAGTCGGAACTGACTCCACAGCACATAACCACCACCACCAGGAATGGATTTCTGAGACAGATATATCAACGACACATATGTATGAGAGGACTGCAGAAAGTTCACACAATGGAATTGAGCTAATGGAATTTTCCCATACACTTTTGGAAGCTCCCTCATATGAATGATACATGAGTGCTAAAAAAAAAAAATCATCATTGATGAGTTCCCATTGAATAAACTTAACATTTCAAAAATTCAACTAGTGCTGGGCTTCAGACGCATGGAGAAGTTTATGAAGAGAACCATCCTACCTTGAAAATGAAATCCGCCATTAGGGGTCCTGCAATCTTAAAGGTTTGTCTCTCTGACCCCCTCTGAAATTCAACTGTTGTGTTTTCTACAACAAAAACTCCAGGGCTGTTAAAGCTGTGTTCTCCTTTGCTTCCTTGAAGTGTTTTTGATTCAATAACTAAAATAAAAATAAAATTCAGATAGGATAAATAGCTAAAACACATTTTGATTTCAAAAGACATTTTGCAAATACAATGCCAGCATCTGATATCAGAATTTCTACTCTGTTTAGTAAATATGGATTCATATGGATGGAACAGAATGATAAGATTTTTAGTTGTCCAGATAAAGAAGCTAACAAAAGCATTAGGACCAATTATTGTTGTTAAGTGCTATTAAGTCAATGCCAACTCACAGCGACCCTGTGTAGGGTTTCTGAGGCTGTAAATCTTTGAGGGAGTAGAAAGCCTCATCTTTCTCCCAAAGAGCAGCTGGTGGTCTCAAATCACCAGCCTTGTGGTTTTCAGGTCAGTGCTTATCATATGCAGCTACCCCACTTCCAAGGCTCAACTGTTGTTGTTGTTGTGAAGTGCTGTCGAGTAGGTTCCAACTCATAGCAACCCTGTATACGGTTTCCTAGGGCTGGCTGGTAAGTTTGAACCACTGACCTTTGAACCACACCAGGACTCCAAGGCTCAAATAGGCCTACACAATTCTTTGGTGCCATTTCTGCTATCAGAAAAAGAATCAAACTTGTGTTTGATTATACTAGGGGGCTTCAAACAGTTCATGAAAACTGGAATGAAAAGATAATGAAATTAATCCATGAACATTTTGAAGCCCTCTCTAGCATGTTTCATGATGTAGCTATTACTGAGAATAAAGTTACATTACTCACTTGATCATATGCTGAGAAGACTTTGTGAAGCTAACTTTTATTTAAACAAAACCAGAGCAAATTACTAATTTGTTTGTTATCCTTTTTATTTTGAAATAATTATAGATTCACAAGAAGTTGCAAAAAGAATATAGAAAAGTCCATGCATTTGGTTTCCCACAATGGCTACATCTTCAGTAACTATAGCACAATATCAAAACCAAGAAAATGACATTGGTAAAATTCTGGTGTATAATAGTGTAATGACCGTTTAATCACGTACCATTATAATCAAGAGACACTCACTACAAAGATCTCCCCTGTGGAACCCCTTTACTCAGATTTGTGTTTATATGAATAGGAAGTACTTTTAGATCTGCTATGGAAAGATGAGTCCTGGTGTGGCACTGTGGATTTGAATGGCAAGGTCGGTGGTTCAGGCTTACCAGTCACTCCTTGAAACCCTATACAGAGGCACTATGGGTAGGAACCAACTCGATGGCACTTAAAAACAACAACAAAAACAGAAAAATGTGTACTTAACAGTTGCTTTCCATACTAGACACCTGGGTTTGAGTCCTTGTCACTGTATAACCACCACAACTTTGCCAGTGGAGGCTTGTTTATTTATTGCTATGATACTGATCAGATTTCAGTGGAGCTTCCAGATTAACCCAGACTAGGATGAAAGGCTTGGCAATAGGCTTCTAAAGTCCAGAGAAGGAAAACACTATGGGTTACAGCAGTCCAATCCCAAACAGATCAAGGGCATAGTGTGGGACCAGACAGCGTTCCTTCTGCTGTGTGGGTGTCAGTCTAAGTGATGGACTGATTCAAAGGCACTTGGACCAAAGTGACATTTTCACTTTATGTGGATGGTTTGTTTTTCCCCTCTTTCATGAATTGTTACCATATTTAGTGGACCTGATCTGAAGCTGATAGAGCAGTAAAAACAAGCCAAGATTGTGAGTAAGAGCACCTACATTTCTGGACCCAGCTCTACCTCGAACTCGCTGCTGTGCATTTTCATTTCCTCATTTCTAAAGTAAGGGGTCAGAGCAGACAACCTCACTTGTCTTTTCTGCTTTGCAACTTCTATTTGGGTCAGTGGTAGTGTATTGCTCTTTAATGATCTTCAGCAAAGAACACAGTGGCACCAGAACCCTATTCAGATTGAAATGTAAACATGAGAAGCAGATAGAACACAACAGGATGGTCTGGCATCAGGAGCTGTGATCCCATACCCTTGGGTTGATTGCTTTTATCTGTTGGATTTTCTCTCTGCCCCTGAAGCAGCTGGAGGAATTCAAGCACACTGGACAGACTATATAACAGGCATTTGGAGACACCCCTGATTATCCCTGACAGGCAAGCTGGGAAACTTTCTGGGAAAATTCAAAGGCTGAACATGAGCTATTTGATCTGGAGGAGTCATTAGCGGTCAGAGAATAATGCTGGCCACTTTCAGGCACACAAAACCCCAACCACTTTGGCCCTGGTCTCCATGACCGCACTAGATTTTTGGAAAGTGTGAGATTAAGTTCATTTCCTAGTTCCAATGAAGATATAAAGTTGAGTGTTTTAAAGTGAGTTATTAGTAAAATTGAGATGCGAAACTAGAGATAGGAGAAGGGACCCAACTGGATGCTTTGTGGCCTCTAGAATGAAGCAGAAAAAAGCAATGAGCAGGAGGGGAACATCAAACTGCAAAATGAAGTTGAACAAATCTATCCGCAGGAAAGCATGAAAAAAACATCCAGTTTCTAGACTGAGATTTACACTGAAATGACTAGATTAAATGTAAAGAATATGCAATGAATTATAACGCTGTGTTGGGGTGTGACTGCTTTACCACTGTGCTAACCTTGTGGATCACTGCTTTCCAAGTTTCATAGGGATGCAGAGTTGGGGTAGCAAATCGCTGGAAAGACAATCTAGCAGGAGGGGAAGGCCAGTAGCTATGAAATCCATCACTGAAAGAAGGTCAGAGTTTCTGTTTGTTTGGTTTGGGTATTTCTTTCAAATGTCAGGTCTATCCCATTATTTTAGCACTGTCCAAAATCATCAGTGACAAGGATACTAAAGTACAAGTAGCAAAATCAGTTTTCAAACCACTTTTATCCAAAGCACTATTCTCCTCCATGGAACTATATGCTTATTGTAAAATATCTCTTTTCCAATTATTTCAAAAGGCTTCCAGTTCTCTAGGTCCAAACCACAGGCTGTATAGGTAGAATGTGGAAAACAGGTGCTCTGACCCCAGTGTGTAAATGAGGAAAGAGTCAAAAGTAGGTGAATAAAGAGAGTTGAAGTCATTTGATCAAAGTAGAGTATATGAATGAGGCAGACGCCAATGCAGTTCTACAAAAGCTGTGATTTGTATCATTGGTAAACTTGCTGCTCCTTAATGCTGTGCCTCTGTACATAAATATCAGCAAAGGAGCGAGTGTTGTTTCCAGTCAACAATTCAGATGTGTTAGTCTGTGAACCATCTTTAATGAAGTTTTAAAAAACGATTTCTAGCATTTCCATGTATTTAGAGTGGTAGGACGCAATGAGTAATTCAGGTCTCAAGAGAGCTGTAGCAATTTCATTCTCAGAGCTCTCGTGCCTGCTCTGTAGTTTCTGCAGCAAGGTGGCTGGTGCTGGATGCAGACCCCAGGAAGTACAATGAAGGGAAGGAGTGTGGCCCTCTTTCCCTGCTGCATACTGTCTGCTCTGACTTCCTTCTCCTCTTCAGGCTTAATATTGGGGAGAGACAAAGAGATGACCCATGACCTCAAAAAGGTGATAAAGAGGCTCTCATAATCTTCATCACTGAAGTCTTCAGCGAAGCCTTGGCATATTTTGATGCCAACCAGTTATTTTTGAAAGAAGCGATGTATGGAAACATGATACATTCCTCTCATTGAAGGGCTTTCAATTGAGAAGTATTCAAATCCAAACATTTTCTCAGAAGAAGATAGAGAGATAGTTGCCAGTGGGTGGACGCTGACTCACTGTGACCTTCGGTATGCATTCAACAGAACAAAATGTTGCCCAGTCCGCCAAGCCTGTTTGAGCCCCCAGTGCAGCTACCGTGTCACCTCATCTCATCAAGGGTTTCCCTCTCCCTCACTGACCCTCTACTTCACCAAGCATGATGTCCTCCTTCAGATCCCTACTGACCAAAGAAAGAAAATTGACAATGTTCTGCTGTGATTCATAAGCTTTACATTGGCTACCTTTTAGAAATAGGTCTTCAAGCCTTTCTTTCTAGTCTATCTTAGTCTGGAAGTTCCCCTGAAACTTGTCCACTACTGACAACCCTAATACCAGTGGCATAGCTTCCAGCATTACAGCAACACCCAAGTCACCACAGTAGGACCAATTATAAACAGGTGATGTTCAAATGTGGGAATCATCTTAAAGAGGTCTTCTTACATTTTAAGGCCATAAATATTTCCTTAGACAAACATGTAATTAACACTTGTTGTTGTTGTTGTTGTTCTTAGGTGCCATCGAGTTGGTACTGACTCATAGTGACTTTATGCACAGCAGAACAAAACACTGCCCGATCCTGGGCCAACCTCACTACTGTTGCCACGCTTGAGTCCACTGATGCTGCCACTTGGCCAATCCATCTTGTTGGGGATCTTTCTCTTTTTCTCTGACCCTACACCTTACCAAACATGATATCCTTCTCCAGCGACTAGTCCCTCCTGACAATATGTGCGAAGTATGAGAGACGAAGTTTGGCCATCCTGGCCTCCAAGAAGCACTGGCTGCACTTCTTCCAACACAGATCTGTTGGTTCTTTTGGCAACCCATGCACTTGCAATACTCTCCTCCAACACCATAACTCAAATGCATCGATTCTTCTACGGTCTTCCTTATTCACTGTCCAGCTTTCGCATGCATATGAGGTTATTGAAAATACCATAGCTTGGGTCTGACACACCTTAGTCCTCAAGCTGACATCTTTGCTCTTCAACACTTTAAAAAGGTCTTGTGCAGCAGACTTGCTTAATGCAATACATTGTTTGATTTATTGACTCCTGCTTCCATGAGTGTTGATAGTTGATCCAAGAAGAATGAAGTCCTTGGCAACTTCAATCTAAATTAGCACAGCTGATTTAGTTATAAATATTTCAAAAAATATGCTAAGGGAAGAGACGTATATACCTTTATGTTATATGTACACTTGATTCAACATCAGGTTCCTTTGGTTTGTCATTATGTGTAATAGCCATGTTGATATATGGTCATCAGACAGAATTTAGAAGACAAAAAAAAAATCAAACAAACAACTCTTCCAACTG